AAAGAGAAAGAGAAAGAGAAAGAGAAAGAGAAAGAGAGGAAAAAGAAGTTAGGACATTGTGAAAGGTGGCCTGGGTAGTAATGTGGAGCACCTGGAACCCCTGTGGGCTCTTAGTATGAACATAAGATGGTGCAACTGCTGTGGAAAATAATATAGATGTTCCTCAAAAAATAGAAATAGAAATACTATATGATCCAGCCACCCCACATATAGGTACAGTGGTACCTGTGTTCACAAACTCAATTATTTCCATGATTCTGGTTGCAAACTAAATTGAACGAAAAAAATAAATAAATAAATAAATAAATAAATAAATAAATAAATTGAATGAGCACAGAATCAAAGTCAATGGTTAGGTTCAATCTTGACCTTATGGGGAAAGGGACAGTGGTAGGAGACAGGTGGGGACAGACAGTAAGGGTGGCCCTCTGATACTTTCAGTTCTTGTTCAATTTGATTTGCAACCAAAATCATGGAAAGAATTAAGACTGTGAAGCAAAGTACCACTGTATATCCAAAAGGATTGGAAGATATCGAAGAGTTTTTGTACATGTATGTTTAAAGCAGTGATATTCCATATAGCTAAAATAAGAAAGCACTCCAAATGTCCAAGGACAGGAGAACACATGACCAAAATCTGATCTCTCCTTGCTGTGGTGCATTGGTTACTTTCCTTGTTGCTGAGACAAAATATCCAACACCAAAAGTTGAAGAAAGAAAGGTTTTTGTGGCTCACAGTTTGTAGAAGTTGTGGTTCATAGCTGGCTGCTCCGAGGCAGCGTGGCAGGTTGGCAGGATGGCAGGGTGGCAGGGTGGCAGGATGCCAAGGTGGCAGGGTGGCTCAGGAGATCATGCACATGGTTGGCAAAGAGATGGCCTCGAGGAGAGCAGAGGCTGAGCCTCAAGGGAAGGCCGCCTGCATGGCAAAATGGACCTGTAGGAGGCAGGGAGAACCACGGGGACATGGAAAGGCCAGAAAGCGTTTCTATCGGGCAGCAAACAGGACCATTCTTCTGAGTTTGAATTAAAATGTTCAGTGTTCTTACTGATTACTACGTAGTGCTTTTCATCTTGTGAGTGATGGTGATGACAGAGGATCTGTCTTTTTAAAACTTTGAGATTCTGTTAATGTACCTTCTTGACAAATTTGGCAACTCTAAGTTCTGTCACAATTTTCCAATTTTTTTCCCTCTGAATCCAAAATATGTGAAAATCTCAGTGAAACTGATTTATACCTTGGTATATTTCCAAAAAGATTTGAGGCACCTGGCGTGAGTAAATAAGGCTATTCAGTAGAAACCCGAGAGCTGGGGAGATAGTTCAGCAGCATAAGGGCCTACTTGGCAAGTGCGAGGTCCTGAGTTAAATCCCTGACACCAAGAAAGAAAGAAAGAAAGAAAGAAAGAAAGAAAGAAAGAAAGAAAGAAAGAAAGAAAGAAAGAAAGAAAGAAAGAAGAAAGAAGAAAGAAAGA